TTCCTCCAACATACACCCACAATGTTATCTACAGTAGATATGAGAGCAATGGTAACGCTGGCCACGAGGAAAATTGTGACGGTACCAAGCGCTTCAACGGCCGTTACAAAAGTCCCCACCATGCTACCCTGTAACGGGCGATCAGTAAGCCCACAAAGTCATCTTCACAGATTCTTTCGCACTCGGGAACAGCTGTCTGTAACTCATCGATAGCATTGTCGCCCTATTTTCTAACTTTAAATTTAAGTTGAAGTGCCTTCGCAATACCTGAATTGTTGATAAACTCATGTTAAAAATTCTTCTATGCTAGGCAAACTTCTTGGCGATCCTCGCACTCAATCAAGTTTTACCTTCAGTTCTATTATGAACCTCGATTAGTCCTGTAGCAAGATTTGTAAGAAATTACAGAATGCGTAGAGTAAATAGATGGAGAGAAATTAAGCAACATGCTGACATGCAGCCCTTGGCTGGATGGACCATTAAAATAATTTGGAAACGTAGCCATGTCTTCGTCTTAAACTCTCGTTTTGGTGGTAGGGGAGCCCTGCGCTCCATCGGTTTTGTAGATCTTTCCCGGCAGCTATTCAGCCGCAATTGGCCATGGCATGGCTAGAGAGGAGAAAATATGACGAAATAACGGCTCCTTTAGACCTGCACCCGATTGAAAACCAATGTGCCTATCATCTTGGTGCGGGAGACATGTCAAAGGCACAGTCAGTGGTACTTTATCTGAGGCACAGATACCCTCAGCCCATAGGCAGAAAGTACTTGCACGTCCTAACTCTGTCATAGTGTCAAAAGAAGAACAAAATATATCACATCGCATCATCTTAATCTCCGCTTTGAAGAATATTGTGTGCTCACGGAGCGCATCAGCACTCCCAGCCGTAGAGGTGATGCTTGAAATTGCCTCAACCTTGATATCATCCGCCAGTGGGATTTGCTTCATATCGAGGTAACCCACACACGCACGGATTACCAGCTGACATTATTTCCTAGCGGAGCAGCTGGCAACCTCTCAGGATGTTGCGGAAATGAAGCCCGCACTGGTAGACGGATACTCTATACAAGCCGCTATCTCGTTCACAATGAACTGATTCTTTCTACCCGGGCAGTGCGCGTGGATTCCTTGAGCAAGCTAAACGCAGCGCTCTTCACATGACCGACCGGGCCTATCCCGTTCTCCAGAGGCCTCACACCTGGTCAGAGCAGTAAGTAAGCAAGACTTGTCATATTCCAAGCTCTGTACCGCAAAGCAAATGGACGATTAGACGTATGTATGGCAGCCTTACGCAGCACAGGGCTGCTCGCCTCGGGGCCAGTTCATGAACGGGTCACAGTATGCGTGCCTTGACGACCCTGGAGACATGACACGAGCAATCGATCCCCCAGATGTAAGTGATCGGCGACAGGTGCGCTGAAATCTGTGCCGGTCACCCATGAAGATCTTGCGCGCACCAGTGCGTGTCCCAATCTTCCGGTGTTTAGGGGTGAGGGGCTCCGCACAAATAAGGGGTTGCACCAGTAAATAATGAATTTAATATTGAATGGCATCATTCGGCCCATGCAATAAATTTCGATCGCAATGGTATTTGCAGCCCGCACTTTAATAGTGACGTACTTCTCCCCGTACATTCATTGCTTCGATGATGCAGGGAGGGTTCTAGAAGTAAATTGTGAGGATAAAGATTGGTATCTACTTCATGCGAATTTGTTGCGAGACCTCAAGGGATGCCACGAGTGACTCTACCTGTGAGAGCAGCTATGCAGCCCAAGCTTAGGGAAGGGATCTGATTCATTCGTCGCCAGACTCTGATTGCTAGAAACTCAGCATTGTCTCCCGCTTGATTCAAGCGAGCCGTGTTCGCTGTGCTTTATTTACATTTGCGTCATGAGAAATTAATACGCGTAGGTTTGCCCGCTTGGTGGAATGGGTGACCAGACGATACATGACTCCACATTCGCTGCGAGGGGCCCAAGACCAGCAGAGCGCGGACGGGCGCAGAATTTCGGGGACCTGACCGAACTGTGTGCGTACAAAGTAGCAGGCAAACGTGGGTCAGTTTGACCTGAGTCATATCTGAGATCATTGAAGAGGGTCCGAGGGCAAGCCAATCGCACCTCCCGCCTGCTAAGATTTACCTTGCATTGCCGGCGGCCGCTTTACTTATTCACGGATCCTGGAATGTTCCCAAGGCTAAGCAGTGTGTGAAATGGAGCGGGCGCTATTAATAATCTCGGAGCACGTCTCTTCCGAATTGATTGGCAATTGCACTCGGCACTTGCTCGGCTAGGAGATGGTTCCGTGCTGGAGATATCACGAGGCTAATACTGGCGCAGACTGCTTTGTTTGGTGGACCAAGAATGCAAGGGACCGCACTAGGGCCTCCGATCAGTTCTACCCGTGGAGCCTGCACACAAGATCGAAAGGATGATGTGCAGTTCTGTGTACTAATATTAGGTTCCAGTACTATTCTTACATCACGTTTGCTTCCTGTGTTGTGATTTACTCATCAGCGACAACGTGTAGCGACTGGCTTTATTGAATTTCCCCAGTATCGATCCTTACGCCAGAAAAGACAATTTAGAATTATTTGATCATTAAAGCGGATAAAAACATGGTACCCTTGTCCCTGTCCAAATTATTCAACATGAGCACGGAAAGGAGACGGAGATTTATGCGGAGTTCTGAAGAGCAACTGCAATCGATCGTACACAGGTCATTTTCTAAATCTTCAAATTCTGAGAGGTACTCTTCAGCTTTCACTCTTACCCCGAGTCTTTCTTGCCATCAGCTTGCGGGTTATGAAATAGCCTTGGACGCGAAAATGCGTCAAGGCTGACATGAAACCAAACATTTAGGCTTCGACCCGCGGAACTTTGTCTTGCCGACAAATGGAACACGAAGTTGATAGCTCTCATAATGTCGGTGTGCTTTATTTAACCGCTGGGAACGAGGGGAAGAGGCCCACGCCACAGCTCTCTATAGAGATGGCGGGTAGAATTGGAGAAATCTTGAGGGGTTGCCAGCATAAACATCAGGTCGCCTGGGGAGCCTGATGTATGAGACGAGAGTTAACTTGGACTAGCTTCACTAGGCGCTAGAGAAGATGGACCTGAGAAGTTGAATTCTTGGTAACAAAATGAAGTAGGATGTGTTGCCGTGTCTTTACAGCCCCGCTCTATTTTAATTCTGTCTAAGTTGGGATCGACGCTTCCCCGCGCTTGGATCAGTCCTTCGATGAAGGCGTCAATGGAAACCAACGAATCACTCGCCTTTTCGTGTTAGAGGTAAGAAGCCGCCAAGATTTGGAAGCAGTGTTTTCTCCGCACTGAGCTGCGAGGTGAATATAACTATGAAGGACCTGCTTTGATGTCGAGTCGTATATGGGTAAGAAATTCAGGCTTAAACGCCCTAAGGGTGTAAATGGAATCATTATATGATCGCCATGGTGGCACCGCATGACTTTGGCTCCGAGGAAAGATTTATGGATATGATGGTTGAAAAACATATATATTCTTGTGACGCGCTGGATGTAAATTTCAATCAGCCACCAACTGTAGAATAATGGTTTTCCCGCTGGAAAGAAAATGAATAGCTAGTCATTCTTGAAAAACAGTGCCCTGCCCCTACACACTAGTATTCGTTTCGACAAGTGGAATAGACACATGCTGAACGCGACAGCACTTTACAGCAAACGAGTTGCGGGGTGATTACCGCTGAGAAATAGCTGTTAACGAAGCATGGAATGCGATATGGTACCCTGGACAGATATATTTCCGGTATGTGTGCATAAAAAACAAAGGTGTCCCGAAAGTATCTTGGACTCAGTTGAATACCAGTGATTTCAGATAAAAGAAGCCAATAACCTAGTGGGTAACTTTCCACTCAGGTTTGAGAATATATAAGACAAGTAGGCCTTCTATGACTGTAGCAAATAGGGTGTATATCGTGCAGGCGGTTACAACGATTGCTGAGCTTTGTCACAGACGTCACACCCGGTATATCACGTGATCAGAGTGCCGATCAGATATGTGTGAGTTTTCGCTCTCCCTGATAAGCGGCAGGGGAATAAACTCAGCGCAAGCGGGTTGATCGAAATGATTACCCGCAAGGAACGGCGCTCAATCAATCCGGATGGTTCACCAGTTTGACTCGCCGGGCAACGCCTAACCGCCCCTGATCCCGTCTGTGGGGCTGAACTTTAGAAAAAGCAAATGAAGGCTAAATCTCGGTGGCGTGAGGAATTATAGCTGGCCTTGGAGATCGTTGGAATAAATGTATATGGAATGAAATGGAATGGTCCCATCAGCATCATTTCTGCATAGCCATGAGGACGTCTGTCTGACTGCATGCCGGTTGGGCGATTGGAAGAGGAAAGTCGGTGAATATTCCCGGGGAATGTGCTCTAACTCAGACTCGTCTCCCTCTCCCGGACTAATGATCATTATCCTGTCTCTGCGTCGTCGAGACAAGTTTATTCCTATCGAAGAAAAGTGAAGGGAACCCATAATTTCCCAAACAGCTTCCCTCTCACCCCCCCCGGTACTTGGAACTTGATGTGCAAATGTCTCAGAAGATCCCACTCCACTTTACCCCGTGTGTTGTAAATGTGTGCCTACCTGCCTACAAACTGCAACCTACGAGGCCTCCGACCAAGTTTACCCCATGAACGGGGGAGGGGGCAGCAGAGGGGATGTGAAGAGGGCCGAGGGTTTCCGCCTCTGTCCTACTCACTCCATGCTCAACGCCAGCGAGCGACTATTTATGTTCATGAAGTCGTCACGCTCCTGTTTCCTTCCCAAGTGCTCAGTGATTATTAAATCACCACTCTTCTACTGCATCTTCATGCCTTTGCCGTTCCTTGCATCAATCTCCTTCACTTCGAAACTATTGTTATAAGCCAAAGTCCCCGTCGATCATCATTCTCTAGGTCACAAAAAGTCTGCTTCTTATTCACCACCATTTATTTGCTTGCTAGCTAGCTAGTTAAACCATCATGAGTTCCCGGAATACGCAGCGACTGTGTCGCCTACCGTCTAACTCTTCCAACACCGACACAGAACATAATTCCAAATCCAGAACTATCAGAGTTACTCTGGGCAGAAATAGGTTCAGTATGAAATAATTTGACACCAAATCCAACAAAAGATATTCCTAACAAGATGCATAGAATCGTTCAATCGCCATCAAGAAAATACCTACTCTCCATGTCTCCGGGCCAAGATATTGGCCTATTTGGCTTCGACCACACGACCCTTTCCTCTCTCCATAAAAAACGCTGATAAACCCATGCACCATCAAGATATTAAAGATCTCTGCGAGCTCCTTAATCTATCAGGTGAGGATCGCTGGTGGGAAATCGACTTGGATGATGCATATTGTGAGAAATGTGTTCAAGAGAATGTGAGGCCGCCAGGTCGAAAAGTACGTCAACCTCAACGCCAACTTGATGAAGCTCAGGAAACTAAATTTGTAACTAGGGCATAATCGACAATATCCCCATTCTCTCAAATTTGACCAGACAGGTCCATCGATGTTTTTACGACGCGTCTAGTACCCCAGAGAAATCCACGTCGCCATACATCGAATGTCCGCACCAGACAAACTTCTCCCAATTGATGAGTGAGATCAGCATAGAAACACGCAGTCGTCTCTCCTGCTTACGAATTACGGGCAACTTTCAAAACCCTTCTGAGGTTGCTTCCGCCATCCACAATCTTCTTCGTTTGTTCCCAAATATTCTCAACGCGGAGGTTCATTTACCACTAGCTTCGCTTGCCTCTATTTCTGAACCAGACAAAATTGCAGCACATCTCGGAACCTTAGAAAGTGCACTACCCAAGGGAGTCGCCCTCAATTTTCAAAATCTCTTAGAGCACTCTGAATTTATGCTGAAATGGGTACAAGTCAAACGAAGGTGGTACGAATTGATACCAAACGAAACTGAAATTGCACAGCTAAATAAGATCCGGAATCTATCAGACTCGGAGGAGAAATTAATGGGGATTGGATCTGAAAGTATCAACTGGGCTCGCTTGAACAGGGGCAGGAGGTACACTTAGTAGGAGGAGAAATTTGCTATGTCACCCCACTAGTTAATATGTCTACGACAGATGTGAAATTGATGCCGTGACAGGCGAAGAACTCGTTTTCAAGAAGACTTGCATGCGTGCGTGATTCCGCAAATTTGCGTTCGCCGTACATAGCTTATATCATTACACTGACAAGCACAGTTCCTGGCGAACTAGTAGATATTACAAAGTTTAATGAGCTTACCCATGGATACCATTTCGTTCATTCCCTACGGACTAGAATAAATCCTATAAATTAAGTATGATAGCCAGTTGTAGGTCCCTATCTCTCACAGGGCTGGATAAAAGTTTCAGGGGGTGACGTGTAACGGCATAAGATCTCGGGTTCCAACCCGCAACCATAGCTCTGGCGGCCTTGAGCCGCAGCAGAAACGTTCAGCAGCCCCTAAAGTGGCGAGCCACCAAGGTAATAGTGGGGCTGTGGGGCACTCACAAGCGACTTAGAACTCATATTAGAACCCCGCCATGTAAGGCTCCGGGAGGAGCGGACTAGTTGCCGCTTTATGTCCCTGCGCATGCTAGCACCAAGCGTATCGGTGTTTCAGGAACTCGGAATCACGGCATCGGGTACGAGCACTGTGATTCCTGTAATCTGACAAGCGCATGTATCAGCGATTGAACATAAGATGCAGACTTCACGCAATGGAATCCGGATGGTGGTTTTAACTTTTCCCTCCTGCAGCGGTTACTGAAGGTCATCATGTTCCAAGTTTTGATTGCAGGTAGCTTGAGATGATCTGAATAACTGACGCAGGAGAGTTGGAATCTGATAAGCCTAATTTCTCGAGAGGAAGTAGCAATTAACACGTGGACTCTCACTAAATTTTATATACATTTGACTGATTTGTCTCAAGCCTTGGTATATCACACACTAGATCCTAAGTTTAACTACACTTCGGTATTTGTCCAAGGGACTTGACCTTGTTTAGGCCTAATTTTAACCGTCCCTACCCAACCGCTCACTGTGATCGTCTTGTAATTCATATGCTGGCCGGAAATTCTGTTGGTGGCCATTTCGGTGAAGAGCGGGGTTCTGACGGGTGTCACTTTTCCCTCCCAATGAGGTGTAGCCGTGGTCATAGAGTGGGCAGTAGGGTATTTCGAGGTGGCGAAGGAACTGTCAACCATTAGCCGGAGTCTCCTCAATTCAAAGGATTGGGAACACGAGCCGCCCAGATCTCAGCGTACTGCCAGTCAATGACAGGATGAACCCGCATGAAAGATGGCCATCCACTATCTGTTTCGTCGAAATGAGTCAAGGATTTTCCATGAGGATCAGTACGGCGGGTGCCGACGAGAATGGCCTTAATCTTTGGGTAGTCCTCGAGGTATCTAATAAAAGCATCTTTCATGGGCATGGCATAGCGAGCCAAATCAAGATGATATTCGGAGACTGAGGCTGTGACGAAGTCATCGACCTCGTTAAAGGGATGTGGTGCGATAACATAGACTGAGGGCAGCGCGGTCGGCAAGGTGCGGGACTTCATGTGAGCAGCAGTTGGCACGAGGGCACTCAAATATAAGACGAGCAGTACGAGACAGTCTTTGCCGCCATTGTAGGAGATGGAAATTTCTTCGAGGCTGTTCTCAGTGCCACGTCAGTCTCGACTCGCGTCGGCCGGAGATGAGGTCAGGGGGTCGAAGAAGATGCCGTACCTGTACCGCTCCAGTGCCTTCACGATTACTGCCAGTGCGCTGCGCGTCTGCGTCTGTACCCGTCGCAACAAGGGCGTCGGCGCATCGCTTTCTAGGAAGCTATCAACTTTGCCAGCCAGCTGCTCGCAGATTGCTTGTATGTTTTTATCTTCAGTAGTGTCGAGCTGTGGCCGGCAGTCGTTTACAGCAACAGGAATTGGTTCATAAGTAGCACTCGGTGTCATTCTCGGGGGCCAGAACCCATGGGAGATGGGATGTTGTAAATGAAGGCCCAGCGAGCGAAAGTCGTGCTTGTTGGCAAATCGTGGAGGGGTGACAACCATACACCAACAGCTTCGCTATTTTGCCAGTTAAGTTTTGTCAAACCTTGCAATGAATGACTCATCATAGCATGTGCTCCTAGGGTTTTTCGCATCTAGTCAGTAAATACTGATTAGTCAGCTGTTTGATTAAGTGAAGAACCCCCACTGCCTCAGGACATGGTACATGCGTATCATACCGTACCGCAAGATCACGATTTATATTCCCTATACATCGTATGATACCCTTCATAAATTTTCAATTATGTGAATCTACCTTCCCAAAAATTTCAGCACGTCTGCCTCGACTAGGAGAATTTCTCGAATCCTGCATTTCAAGGGAGAATATCTATGGGTGCACGTTTCAATTCGCACCTACAACCAGCTAAAGCTAGCGGTGATTTTAGACTACATGCCGATTTCTCATTCAAGTTATCACGTATTGAAACAAATTTGGCGATCAGTTTTCATAGGAATCTATTCTAAATTACTCGTTCAAAATTGCCGCCGCATAAGTTTCGAGATCCTCTAAGGTATTTGTTTCATCTGGTATTTCAATATCAAGGTTTCTAGCTTGAGCCTTTTGCTCAGCATCTGAGTCGTCTTCAAACCATTTCCTTGGTCTTTTCGTAGGCCTTCCATCCTCTTTGCTTGAGGAAAGGGGAAGGGATGCTAGAAGCTTTAGAGCCTCGTCACCATCAGCTTCCATAAGATCTGGCACTTCCTCTTCACTTTCATCTTCTATGATTCCGGCTGCTTCTCTTGCCTTTTTCTTATCTCGCTTTTCGCGTTTCTTTTGCTTCGCGAGCTCTTTGTCATGAACATCAGCTTCTTGGATTCTGGCTACTTCACTTTCCACAAACTTAGCGCGCTGAACCTCAGCAGGACCTCTTTGGTGAAACCCTTCTTCGTCCTCAAGCTCATAGACTTGATGTGGATTTCCATCATCATCGTAAACAAGTTTGGTACCCTTCTCTTTGAGCTTGGTAAGTTTCTTTTTAGACTTTAGCAGCTTTTCTTTCCGTTTAGAATCTACTACAATTGGTTCTGTCCCAAGACCTGAAACTATCTTTGGAGCTGGGCCAGTTGATTCCTGATCTTCATGGAACGTTGAGCCATCTATATCAACGGGGATTACTCTCTTTACTGATAAAAAGTCATTATCCTCATCAGCATCGCCGAGCATCGCTAGACTAGCATCATCTCCATCATTGTGGGAAATCATTTTTGAGTAATGGCCAGAAAGAACATCTTGGTTACGGCGCTCGAACATTCTATCATATTTAGTTCGGACCTTTTCTTTGCCTGACACTATAGTGTCGCCCAGAGCTTCAATTTCCTCATCGTTAGAAAAGGTAGCTCTTGGAGCATTTTTGATTTTTCTTGCGTCCTCGCCTTTCTGAAACTTAATTTTTGGAGCTCCAGGCAGGCCTAGGCTTGAGGCAAATCCTTCCAAGTCGTATTCATCGAGCTTGAATACTTCTTTATCCTTTTGAAGATACAATGACTTTGCGTAACTAGTAAAGGCTTTTTGGGCTAAATATTTGAGCTCGGGGTCCTGGAAACACATATTCTGGAACTGACTATCGATCCGCTGTTGTTTATTATCTCTAGGTTTGGTTCTTAAGATTGGTACCTTTTTGTTCTCTAGCCTCTTGAGCATTCCTTCGACTTCACTCGGATCCAGAAACATAACCGCTTTTCCTGCACGTTCATAGCGAGCTGTCCTACCTACTCGGTGAATGTATGTATCCGAGTCCTCTGGGCAGTCGAGTTGAATGACCCAGTCTACAGCTGGAAAATCTAGGCCTCTTGCCACAACGTCAGTTGCAAATATACAAGAATTTTGGGAGGCAGAAAATCTCGCAGTAATATCTAATCTTGCGGTTTGTTTTTGACGTCCGTGGAGATGTAGCAAAGGTATACCGGGTTGTAATCTTCGAAAACTCTCATAGACAAATCGAACTTGTTTCCCAGATGATAAAAATACGATAATTTTGGCTTTTAAGTTTGATCTGATGAAGCTGAATAGAGTGTTTAGTTTCTCTGGTAGTTTAGTTTCCACATAGTATTGCTGTAGGGTAGCGGGGGTCGCGCTTAATGCCGCCTCGTGCACTGCCACATACTCTGGATCTTTCAGACTCAGTCGAGCAAGATCAGACACCTTTTTTGTCTGCGTAGCACTAAATAGAAGTGTTTGTCTTTGTTTGGGTAGATGTTCAATAATAGCGTCTATAGAATGTTTGAAGCCCATATCCAGGATCCGATCTGCTTCATCTAAGACGAGCATTTGTAAATTTCCAACTTCAAAAGCTGCCGTTTGATCCATGTGCTGCAACATTCGTCCTGGCGTGCACACTAGAATATTCATCCTGCCCAACCTTTCTCTTTCTTCTTGTAGGTTTCGGCCACCAATAACAAGCCCAGCAGAAAAAGAGTGATTGCGTCCAATCTTGCGCAACACTTCAAATATCTGGATAGCTAGTTCACGAGTCGGTGATATTATAAGGGCACCTAAGCCATCTAATTCTGTCCATTTCTGACGATAAAGATTATCCAGGACAGGAATTAGAAATGCCAATGTTTTTCCACTGCCGGTGCGCGCGGCGCCTAAAATATCCTTCCCTTTGAGGGCGAGTGGAATTGCTTTGCATTGTATGTCTGTGAGTGTTTTAAAATGCGACGATTCGAGTCCAGATCTTGTTGCCTGACAAAGTGGCAAATCGGAGAAGTCTTTAATGACCGTTGTTGCGTCCTGTTGAACTTAGCGCATTCTTGCACACTGGATTCTTAAGAGCACCTACGAGCTTTTCGACGGCCTGCTGTAGGGAGCCATGCTCTTCATCTTCACGTTTCCTCTTCAAGTTTCGTGATTCCCCTTTAGATTTTCCGAGGGGTTTTGCTTTACGATCTTTTGTTCCGGATGTCATAGTTAAGCTCGTGATCTTGGGGAAAATAATTTTGCATCGCCAGGCCCTTGTGCCTCATCCACAGCCAAGGCTGCAAGCGGCCGCCCCTGATGCCTTTAACTTACATAGACGCTTTGGACGGAGAGCAAAAACTGAACATCTGCACGCGGTGTCCACTACGAACCTGGAAGCAAAATATTGCTCAAGAGCCAAGTTCAGTCAGATTTTGTAATACCGAACAAGTTGGCCCACGAGGCAACGATTCAAAAAATTCCATCACATCATTTTTTCACCCCCAACGAGTTCGATTCCTATTTAAGTTTCACAAAGTCTACAATTACGACCTAGTACATCCTCATTTTAATGATCACACTTCTCATCAACCTTCTCTGGCTTCAGCTGGTCACCAAATTCATACCCACGCCGATATTTACACCCGCTGGAGTAACCAAAGCGTGGCGCACAAATCTGAGAGATAGTTCTTTGGGATAGACGTGAAGAATTAGTACGAGTTTGCAAGATGATTCAGACCATAGATACAATCTCGACGGGCGTGAAATATGGAATTTTGACAATGAGTTTTACGAATTGAGCTTTGTGCGTGCGCTAAGACTCCGGTTGCGAAAGTTCATGCAACACCATAAACAAAGTCATATTTGGATTGTGCGGTGACATATCATCTGGGTCAGTCTCCCAAGTAGAGTCTGGATAGCTTGGATATATATCCCACTTAAGACAGGAGATGGCTTTTTCGAATTCAGCAAGACTGAATCGCATATCTGCTGGTGCTTGTGTTCATGGATCACGAAAGCATATTGGATAGCCAAAAGGTTCGAAACTTCCCTTTGCCGGGTACTTATGGAGGGCTGACTGTTTGTGTAAGCATACAAACCTCACAGTTGTATTTTCAGACGAAATCCAGGGTATGGGTGTCTCTAACGTCAAAAGAGTCATCCAACATCTACACACAGCTTTGATCATGCGTCATAGCTAGACAGCTGAATATAAATTAATTTCTAACTTGAGAAAAATATAGATGACCCTAGTAGGTGCGTCTCTGGACAGCAGATCGTATATGTCAGGGTACAAACTACGACATACTACCTGGTAACATTTTTTACTAGTAACGTGCCAAGTATTATTTATTAAATACCTGCAAGTCAATTGAGTGATACTCTCTCTTTCGTATTGTTCTTTAAAGTCTAAATCTAATTGTAAGAACACTTTTCACGTCTTTGGATAGTTTGAGGTGCATAGCAAGGTGGCCTTGGCCCATTTATCACTTGTCAGGCGTGAGGTATTAGCACGTCGGAGTGTTTATATGGACTAAGCTGGCTATCACGGGATCTAACGGTTGTATTGTGAGTTGGCATGACATGGGTTTAAAACCTTCTGGAAGTCAGAATAATCGGGGCTATCAAGTAGCCTTTGCTATTGATAAACACGTGATTACAAATTATGTACTTAGTCTCACTTCGGTAAATACTTGAATCAATGCGCTCTACAACCTCAATGACTGGGAGGACGAAGGCTGAACACCTGTCAGTGGTGTCCTCTACGAACCTGGAAGTGAAATATTCTCCCAGAGCCGAGATTCAGTCACGAAAAAGGGTGGGATGAATTTTAATTGATGGATTTTCGACTTGAAAGAGTTGCACTCGGTATTTTGGTCGAAAAATCAGTCGGCAGAGATTTCACAGCCGGAACAACGTCGAACAAAAAGTCATCACCACCAACATACGATTCACGAATGGGCCTAGGTCTATCTTGGGATCGTATTCAAACATCCGACATTTCTAAAACTCCTTTTATACTTGCGACGAAGCATTTCTCTATCGATCCTATACCTGCGACCCACTTCTATACTCGTCCGATCACCTACATACACACGCCCTAATGAGGAAAGTCATGATGGAAACGGGACGTGTACAAAGGATGAAGAAAAGGGAAGATACACCGAGGAGATTACACAAATCCCCAATGACGAAAACAACCCAACGGTACGATATGAAGATGCAAGGCTAGAGCAACGATGAGATCTTGGACGGCATTTATATTTCAGAGTCAATGAGGATGTCAAGGGCTCGGGCGCGTGGTGGCCGAGGCTAAGGAGGGAATTGCGCTACAGCGTGTATACAGCGGGTTTCTGGACGGTTAGGCTTGGTATGATTCAACACAAAGGTGAAGTGTGAGGTGGTTCGGTCATTAAAGTGGGACGAGGTATATCTGTACTTTACGGTAGTTAACCTGATCCGGCCCGACCCCACACGTGCTTAAGCTCCAATAGGAGTGCAACGGTAGCCATGTAACCTAGCACGTTAATGAACAAAACAAAACAAAACCTCAATGACTGGGAGGACGGAGGCTGAACACTTGTCAGAGGTGTCCTCTACGGCCTAGGGAGTGAAATATTCTCCCAGCGCTAAGATTCAGTCACGACAAAAGGTGAATTTCAGAGTTTTCGTCGAGTTGGCGATCGGGAGGAGTGGTGTTGGCTCAGATTTGCTCGAGAATTCGACTTGCAGAGATTTCACGACTGCACAACTCAACGAAATCAACCATCTACACCCCAGATACGAGCCGCAGACAGCCTATAACCTGTCTGATGTTCGTATTACAACAACCGACATCTTCAACATCTTATTTTCTATTTCTCTGGAAAATCACTCCTAGCCAAAATCACCTCGCGGCCCTATCCAAAATTATCTCACCACCTACCTAAGCAATCCCATACCTTCAAAAGCCAAATCGCCAACTAAGAAGCAAGAGGATGCCCACCCTAACCAACTGCTAGTCGCTGTGAAGGTACGGTCGAAATACTGGCCTTAAATGCGACCTCAACTCGGTCAAGGGCACCAACAGCTCGACCTACGACGAATCGCCACCAACGAAATACGTACGACATTTTGCCGGCACATCAAACAGAGCGTTCGACAAAGGCTGGGGCACCGGTGCCTCGGTCTTGAGCTCTCGGTCGCGTTTTCGACCTCCACGGTCAGGGGTACGGCAGCGACGGGGCAAGGCCGAAGGAGTGGATATTATACGTGGTTTCGGAGATGACGAGGCTGGCTAAAGGACAAAGGGATGCTGTATGGGGGAGAAGAAGGATTATAAACTGAAGAGGCCTTGGTGGGCGACTGGATGAGGCCTCCAGTGAAGTAAACGACCCCTGTATGAGATGAGCCAAAGCTGGGGCTGAATGGAAGGGAAAAGTTACAGACGGCGAAGGTGTCAAGGGCTCGGGTGCGTGGTGGCCGAGGCTGAGGAGGAATTTGCGCTTTAGCGTGCCAAAAGGGGGTTCTCTGGACGGTTGGGCTTGACATGATTCAACACATGGAAGTCTGAGATGGTCTGGTCATTCAGGTGGGACGAAGTAGATGTACTTTACGCTAATTAACCTGACCCAGCCCGGCCCTACTCGTGCTTAAGCTCCAGTAGGATGGCAGCGGTAGTCACTTTACCTAGCACGTTGATGAACAAACAAACTAAACCAGCTGTCCGCCCCTCTAGTTTCTGTTGGAAATGGAGACACTGAGTGTTGTGGACGTATGGGCCCTCCATTTCGTCTAGGTTCCCGTCACGATCTTGTGTGCATTTAAGAGCTTGGAACGGATAATATGGTAGCGCTTCAAGCTAACTATTGGAGACATGAGCGGCTGTTTGGCGTGGGTATAAGGAGGTTATTGGGGGTTTTCTTTGCCTAGATGGCGCCACACTCGTTTATGCTGTGGCTTAAGCTCTGTGTCGCTTACACTTGTACTTGAAGCGCACATCTCCCTCACTTTTAGCTTTAATCCGAACATGACACTCTTTTAGACAACTTTTACTTTCGTTCTATGTATATTGCGCTCATTTCATTGCGCGATATTTCCAACACTTTCCAATTTAAATGTATTAAATTTCCCTCTACCAGGAACTTTACTTAATTTTTGCAAGTAGTTTTAAATTACACCCGCAGAACAAGATAATAAGAATAAATCCTTCCATCTAACATTAACCTCACACCGGATCGTAAAATTTCACTTGGAAATATCTAATGGGCTCTTTGGATTTCGTCATAGAACTTTGCCTGCTCGACCCATTTTCCGAAGGCGAGGGCACCTTTAGGCGTGCCAAGCACCTATTTGATGCTAGAGCAAGGATATCGAGGTCCACCGCGAAGACGGGCACGGATTTTTCCTATGCTGCAGAAGAAGAAGTGATTGGGGCTTTTTTCTTCGCCACAGGAGCAAGTCATTAGAGTATCTTCGTGTGTGAAACGTCGATGATATGGGGCGAAATCTCCGTGTCCGGAGCGAGCTGCGATAAACGCTCCAAACTTCCGCAAATTTAAGCCTTTCAGTTCTGGGGTTACTTCTGAGCTAGGACCGATTCCGAGTTCTTTATATCTAGCCGGGGCCTCTCGTTCCCAGAAGGCGTCGCTGGAGGCCTTGTAGGGTTGAGCCACCTTCCTTTTTGCCCTTGCTATGGACAGAGGGAGAGACGATATAGGCATTAGATATGCTGACTTGGCTAGAGAGTCTGCTGCTTCATTTCCGGGGATTCCAGAATGTCCAGGGCACCATCGGACACTAACTGTTCCAGCCCTAGTGCAGGATGCGCGTTTTCTTTCAGATCAGCTGGCTGCGAGTTTCCGGAATTTCGTAATTTGACGGGAACTTGTTGCGATGGGGGGTAGCAGGAGCTGCTGTAGAGCCGCTTCTTGGTTATCTAGGCAGACAGTTATGTTGGTTGCATAAAATGCTATGGGATTACGGATGGCAGCCGCTAGCCCCTCAGTCGCTCCAGCAATCTCTGCATCATAAACTTCTGCTGAGGTGCCTAGAGGTATAGTTCCACAGGCTAACTCGTGAGACGAGCAACGTCGTATTGAATATCCTGCACCTGCTCAGTTCTCGATTAATGCACCATCGGAGAAACATAAAAGAGGTCCAACATTGATTCTAGATCAAACCAACCGGAAAAGGTATCGACTCCAGCATTGCGACCAACCGCCCCCATCTTTTCCAAAGATGTATCCC